GAATATTGTACCTTGTAATGTTTTTTTTTTTTTAGACCTCAAAATCCACAGAATTTATCTATGTACCTTTATGGAAAAAGAAAATATCTGTTTTCTAAAATGAATATTTTTTTTTTTTTTTAAAGAAAAGTTATTCAATTTAGCAAACTTTAAAAAATAATGAGAATCAGGAATTTATTTAGACTTGATAATGCTGACACTGTTGAATATGTTGCAATTTGCTGAATTGCATGTTAGTGCCAGCATCACAGGCTAACACTGAATACGGGTTGCCAGTAACATGATTACAATGATATTAGGCATCTTAGTTTGCCCTGGTGAATTAATAAGACCCAATGATCTTGAAACTGCATTTGATCTCTATAAACTTCCTCAAAAATCGGCACCATGAGTTAGTTCCCACAACATAAGGCCAAATTCAAAAACAAAAATCAACAGTGTTAAATTTACTTGATTATTTTGAACTGTGGAAAACTATATATACAACTGTATGATCAGAACATGCAAAAACACATGCGTCTATTTAAATACATAAACAACACCAGCATGGGTGTAGCAGATACCTTTAGTTTTCTGTAACTGCATATCAGTCGCTAAATAAATATTATTATTATTATTATTCCCAGCGTCATCACAGTGTGACTGAAATATAGTGTGAAGGCACCAATATTATGTTCTTCTGACCCTAAGATAAATATATGTCACATACAACCGGCTTCCTTGCAGAAACAGGAGCATTCCATAGGCAGGTTAGATGCAGAAAATGAATGCTAACCAAACTGCAAATGGCAAACCACACAGAACACAGTTTGTTCCCGATACCTTGTCGGCGTAGATCTGCTGTGGTGAGATGAGATGTACTAAGCCACTTGGCTTTAGTGAGAGAGAGCACTGAACTCGAATCTGTGAAAGATCTTGTGGTAAGTTCTCAAATCTACTCAACCTGTTTTACTGGATATCACTGAGTAAATGACTTATCAGAGTTAGATGACCATGGTTCACATAATACACTCAACTATAGTACATGTGCTGCTTTACCTGCTTACCATTAATACCTGAATAAGACACTTTAGACTTGGCAATGATGGGGAAAAAACTTGGTGCTCTGTGGGAAAGGTCTGCTGTCTCATCTCTATAAAATCCAATTTTGCCATAAACATGGACGACAGCTAAGTGGTTTTACAAAAAGTGTCTATATATAATTCACACGACTATAGAAAACAACGGTCTTGAAAAATGCACTGTCATTAACGAACATTCACACATTTCAGAAACTGATTGTCCAATTAGTACAATATCTACAGACCTGCCTCTTGCTGCAACATACAAAACTATCTACAATATGAGCTGTGAAATAGTCTAAAGAATAAAAGGTTACATCACTCTACCTCTTAAACCAAAGGGAGTTGGGTCACTCTTTACTTCATGACGTTTAGCTTTTTTGTCAGGGCTGGTAGGAGAAGCTGCAGAAGGATGAACAAGGAAAACATAGAAACATAGATAGTGAAGGTATGGAAAGGAAAGTGTGTTCAATGTAAAAATGTAATACCTTTGAGTTTATCATAGAAGTAACATGAAAATTCTTTCTAATCCTCTTCTAACTTAAGATATCTCATTTACCGTAAGCTTACTATTATATATTCCATCTGTATAACTGTAAAGTGCGGCAGAATAATTTGGCGCTACATGGATGATAATAATAATTAGAAATGCCATGAATGGTCTTGTACATTGTAAAGTTTTCAAGTACACATAAAATACTGAAAAAGACTCATTCTCAACACTATTAATAGGTAATATGATGCAATGGTTTAAGTTTTATGATTTGACAATGATATAAAATCTCTAATATTGTCCGTATTACAAATCTTTCTTAGGTTATAACAATAAGATTATAGCTAATGTAAAAATGTCTCTAAAATGAAACCAAACCAAATAGAAAATTGACAAATACAAGGCTCCCTCTATAAACAGTAGAGTTTTCCATACGGGTGAGTATAATGAACTTGTATTTGCGCACTTCATGAGCAGAAATGACCTCCATTAAAAGTACTGTAATAAATGAGTCTGCCATGCTTATTTAGAATAATTCTTGTTCAAAGAAATTGGTAATATCAACCGGGTATTACTTAAAAGGCAGAACATTTTCAAGAATATATATAAAAATGTTTGACACATACACTATTATATTACACTCGCAAGATATTACTGCCATTAGATTTATACTACCACAAACTTACTAATCACTGCTCATATTTATTCTAAGTTCACATATTTGAAGATAGATACAAAGAAGCCTACTCTTGATCTACTATTGTTTATTCTTGCATCATAGACAATACAGACATTTACGCTTCAGTAAAGTTATGCAATTGAAACATCATTCTAGAAAGACTCAAAGGTAATCATGTAGGACCATTTATGAGTTATGTTCATATTACAGCAGGGGTTAGAGTAAAAGAAAAGACAACATTAGTACCAGTGTCAGTAAAGTTTCCAGAGATGCGTTAGTTTGCAGGAACTAAATATTGAATCATAACAGAGTTGTCCAACCTTCTAAAGAAAATCATAAATCTGTAGGGGATTTATTCTACATAAAAATAATCTACAGAGATCAGATTTATGTAATGAAACCCAACCAATTCTTTTGAAGATTATGAGCATAATAAATCTTTGCTAATTGCACATATTTAATGGTTAAACTAGCGAATGTTGCTTTCACTAGAACTATAGTCATAATTTTTACACTTTGTAAAACACTTGAGCCTCGTTTTAATTCCAACAGCCTATAACAATTGATAATTACCAACTGGTTTCGGAAGATATTTTAAACAAAGTTCAGCTGAATTTAAGGTCAGCCAATATTCAAGCAGTCCAACTTGATATATGGGTCATTTGACCAAAAAAAAAGAAACTGCTTAAAAATGTCCCCTTTAAGATCTCTTTAGAATCATGTATAGTCCTACATTGTTTTGACATGAAAGATCATATTTATTAAGGCAATAGGTGCTATGTGAAGCAAAGTGTCAAACGTTAACAGACATTCTTACAGTTTCCATGGTAATTGCTCCTTATTTAGCACACTATCCCAGCCCCATTAACGAAAGACTGACTACACAGGATTCAGAAAGATTCACACTTACAATTCATACATTTATTTTTGGCTTTTGCAGTTGGACAACTCTGTGAGACTAATTTGACAGATCTAAAATAGGGTAGGTTGTGCCTTAATCAATAGCAAGCTACAAATACTTCCTATGGTACATAGGTCTGAAAAAATAAGATGAATGATAATTTTTTACCGTCTTTTCTCAGGGGCCCAGACCCACCAAAGGTCATTCAGATATAAGGATACATAGACATATTTGCAACTATGGTGTTGCAAATTCTTTTATACTATGAAATCCTGTTGATATTGCCAGAAACTAAAGATTGGCATAGAAAAATCAGGGAATAGTGTCCTAATTCCAAAACAGAGTTTGTGTTCCATTCTACTAATTAACAGGCATTCCCAAAGAGTGGTTATTCATTTGGCCTGCCAGCTCCATGCGTAGGGCATTTTTGACTGACCAAATACCTTTATTTGTGTTGCTCACCTTATGCAAAACACTAACATTGTATTTAAAACAAGAAGAGAAGCATATGACGGGCTAGAAGTTGTATTACCTTTCTGAGTTTTGAGGTTAGGAAAACCCTGCAAAGTGAAGCGCTTTTTTGAAACTGAAGAAGATTCTGAGGTAGGGCTAGTAAGTGTGCCATCTAGAAACAAGAGAAATACAGATAGAAAAGACAAGAGAAACAGAAACACTCAAAATATAAAAAGGGAATCCAGCAGTAGTAGAAAGAAAATTGATAAGGAATAGAGGACAGCTTCAAGAAAGGGAGGTTTTATAAGTTTACATCTTTCTAGATGAGATAAGCGTGTGTTGTGTAACTGAATATCAGTTTTCCTACTTAAATCTAAAAGAAAAATTCTATAAATAAGATAAACTTAATTCATCTAATAGAAGCTAGCAGATAAATGTCCATAATCGTCCCGGTCATTCTACATACATATTTCTAAAAAAGACACTTCTAACATGTCAGCATGCATTGTAGAAAACATTACCCACCTTTGCCTTTTTCTAGATACTTTGGTAATGATGCTAAGGTGCTGTCTGGACTCAGTATAGGTTCAGTTTTTCTTTCCTCCAGTTTTTTGATCTTTCCAGATTTACTTCTCAAAGGACTGAATATAGAGAGAACAGCATGATTGACACACTGTCACAATTTGTCACAATCAAAGCACAAAACAGCAAACAAAGGTCTAGATGAGATTCTAAGTTTGCCATGTGCGAATCATGGACACTCCACACAGGAGTTCAACAACGAGAAAACACCTGTGTTGTGGTTTGTTTACTCAAATATAAAGGTGTTTCTCGATGTTTTGTTTTAAATTCAGAGCTTACAGCTAGAGTGATAACAATGCCAATATTAAAACATGATTCACTGTGCACGGATATGTATCAATTACAGACCACAAGGTGTACATATTATTTAAATAGACACATACCTCGTACTAGATGGAGTTGGTAAAGGTGAGCTGTTGGTCTGATCTAAGGATTTGTGTTGGCTGGCTTCTGCAGTTAGATAAATATACACAATATAAGACTATTATTTAAATACAGAGATTCAAAAAGTAAAAAACAAACAAAAAAAAAACACCTGTTCACTAATTTGCTATATGTAGGGTTATTCACTACATTTTGAATGAGGCAAAAGCATTTGCTGCTGTATGCGGCCATTAGGACTGCAAAATTCAGACATTGTTGATGGATTTTTATCAATGTCTGGATTTTGGAAGTAAGGCCCCAAAGAGGCCAGAATTTGGTCCAGATTTCAACTGCAGCAAATGCCGCCGGAAGGCAGACCGAATTAACTTAATCTGGGCCTAGAGGCTTCAAAACAGAGCCTAAATTTAAAAAAATCCAAACTATTTGCCTGCTGGCAGTGCAATTATGTGAATTATGTGGCAGCTGGCCAGCGTTTGCTAACCAGTCGCCACACGAGAAAAGTAAAATAAAAATAAACAGACATACATATGATTTTGACTTATTTGCATTTTTTAATGTGGCAGCTGGCTAGTGAATGCAGGCCAGCTGCCACATAATTAACCCTCACGCTGATTTTGTATAGTGAACTACTAAAAATAACATTAAACAATAAATAGTTAAGCAATACAACTCCTTTATTAAAACATCAATTAAGAAATACAAGAAAAGCTGATCTAACTACCTCGGTATTTCTGCAACTGGCTTGTTAACACCTTCCTGATTTCATTCACCCATGTTTCTTTAATTCCAGGAGTTGGTGCCTATTAAAGAAAATTATCATTTAAAGTCATTCAGTTAAGGTCATGCAAGTTTCAGTCATTTCCACGAAATACTCAGCAAAAAATAAAATAAATAGGTAAGACATTGAGGTATCATTCACAGAGCCAAGTGGCATCTGGTAATAGCACAATTTCCTTAAGTGGCCAAAATCTGCCAGTCTGTACACTATATTTCACTCATTTACTTTAACAATTTAGATGATAAGAATTTTTTTAGATCTGAAAATTACATTCAACCCAGGAAAGTATACCATAAAGCCCTCCACAATGCAGTACTTTGTTTCAACTTTATTTGAGAACATTTTAAAAACTTTTTAACCATGTCTAAGAACAGCATATTTTGGCTTTGCTATCATACAGAAAACAAATAATTTACAGTCTACATATTTATCTATATAAAAAATAAGTTAGGATCTTCTTCCCTTCTTCTTCTTAAAACCTTTCACATGTTCGGTACATAATACACTGTGATTTTACTGTAGAAGTGATTTACAGCAAACTGTGCCCAAAATCATTACTCTCGAGATCTGGATGAGCATTTTTGGAGCAGAAGTTGTAATTTGAATTGTGTTCTTTAGCTAGATGTATTAGAGGAGAATCTCCATAGCTTGGTGTATATACCATGCTTTTCTAGGTCAGCTGTGGAGAGGTCTATATTTGAGCTCCCATGCTACATAAACAGAGGACTTTACCAGTACAAGGAGATATCTTTTAACTCTTACCAAACCAAGTTAAAGTAATTCAGTGTTCTTACAATATAAATGAATGAAGTTCCTAATATATAGCATGAAATTATGCATACCTGGGAATGTCATAAATTCTGAAAGTTATTTAAATTCTATTCTGCATGATTAATTTGCTACATAATTATTATTGCAGTTTTTTCCCCTTTCATTGGTGATTAGCTACAAAAAACCCAATACCTGAACAATATATACTTCTTCCCTTGCATTGTACCAGATTTCAAATTTCTTATTGTCCCCTTTCACATTCTCTGTTATTCCAACAGCTGTCATCTGTGAACAAAAAAAGCAGATGTGATCAGTGCAATATTCAAAGCGGAGACATCAATAAAACAAAACCAATTTGTATTATATTCACGCCTCACTATGGGTTTTAAAATGTAAGTTGTCATGGTGATTGTGAGATTATGGAGTACAATCAAAATAATTTTCTTCAGTTCAATGGAAATCTCAACATTTGTATACACCACACTATACACTAACTATTGCAGCATTATTCTACTAAGCCATATTCTATATTACACATTATTTTACAGACATGCTTTACAACTGTGAAAGAAAATATTAAAGCTTACCTTTTCCTTGTGTTTATCATGCTTATAGTTAAAGGAATCATACAGGCTGGTGGCTAACAGGTATTTTGTTCCCTCTAGTTGTGAATATTGACACAGGCACGTTAAAAAAATGCAAACAGAGTTTTCCACATATACCGGTAAATGGTTGTGGCAGCACTGGACAGAGACCGATAAATGAGAATATATATATAAGGACATTATAGTCCGCTTAATGTAGTGGTTCTGGTGAGTATAATCAGTCCCTGCAGACTTTTTGCTGTAAACACTACCTTTTCAGAGAAAAGGCAGCGTTTACATTGCTTTCCTATGGGTGAGATAGTTGTGACGAGAGCAATCTCGCCACATTGCATTGGAGAAGCCTGGTTGCTCGCCTGTTGCCTTTGGATTATGGCCCCATGTTAAAAGGCTTGATTCTCCCCTGCAAAGACAAGAAAGCCGGGTCATTTGGTGCTTGCCCTGTTTGAGCAGTGATACCCCAGATAGCTATGCCATGGAGCCCATTCGTATAATGAAAGACTATGGGAAAGATTTTGTCTCCATGGCAATTGAACTGTATGTGTTTGTGGTCTGAGCGCCATTCAGTATTGTGCGCTCCGACCTAAGCTATCTGGGCATATTTTATGTCATAAATGTAACCTTGTGTATTTTACTGTCTTTTTGCTGCCATGTGTTCAATGGAGTTTTGCCTCTGTCCTTGGAGATAATTGGATTACTTCTAATTATCTCCAGGATAGAAGACTCTGTGGAACTGGTTTTGGGCAGAAAAGCCATGCTTCCTGTGGTCACAAAGGACTACAATCTATCTTTTGAACCACTGTACCAATTTGTATGATTTTGACATATGTTTGTATTTGGAGTATGCTGTTCCAGTCTGATTGCCAGGAGTGTAAGCCGCTTGGGTGCTTTTCCTGTTCAGCTGCTAGCAGCTATTCGTGAGGTTCCAGTTCTGGAATTTGGAGTGCTACTTGGTATCCTGTTCGGGAGTTTGGTGTTCTGCAGTAGCTGTGCGGTGCCGTTACAATAGTCAATTCTGATTATCTCAGCCAAAGAGGTAGAGCCAACGTTGGCATATACAGGAGAGTACACTACTTATTTAAGGGGGTTTAGGAGGGCCGGCCACCTGAATAGTTTTTTAACACTATACGGTCAGGAATAAACATTTGTATTCCTTACCCTATAAAGTTCATTTAACTGACATTACTCCTAAACCAGTAGCTAAGCAACTAGGTTACAAAATACATCAAAGGGACACTATAGTCACCAAAACAACTTCAGCTTAATGAATCAGTTTTAGGGTGTAGTTCACGTTCCTGCAGACTCACTGCTCAATTCTCTGCCATTTAGGAGTTAAATCACTTTGTTTATGAAGCTCTAGTCACACCTTCCTGCATGTGACTTGCAAACCTTCCTAAACACTTCCTGTAAAGAGTCATCTAATGTTTACACTTCCTTTATTGCAAATTCTGTTTAGTTTAGAATATCTGATCTCCTGCTCTGTTCATAACTTACTAGACCTTGCAGGAGCCTCCTGTGTGTAACTAAATTTAAATTTATAGAGCAGGAGATAAAAACATTTACATTCAGTTACATCTGATTGAAACTGAAACATTTTTGTTTTCATGCAGGCTCTGTCAGTCACATATAGGGGAGGTGTGGCTGGGTCTGCATAAACAGAAACAAAAGTGATTTAACTCCTAAATGACAGAGAATTGAGCAGTGGAACTTCAGAGGCATGTTCTATACACAAAAACTGCTTCATTAACCTAAACTTGTTTTGGTGACTAAAGTGTCCCTTTAACACTTGAGAAGCTGAAACGTCGGTATACTTTATTTCAATAAATTCTGCCACCTTTTGAGCCACTATGCGTCTGCACTCTTTTGGATCCATTATGACAAGTTGAGTTTGTGCCTGCTCTAGTTCAGCTAAGCACCTTTAGCTACATTCTAGGAAGTGTTTGTTACCCTTACAAGATATAGCAAGGACACACTAAGTTTTAAAGGGCCCTAAACAAAAGCATATTGTGGGTCCTTTTTATATCATAATATTAATAAGAGTAATTAAACATTATAACAATGCAACACTGTTTTAGTACATTTCCTATACTTCTATAATTGAGGGACCTAAAATGACTTAAGTGCCACCCATGTGAAAAGGGCTGGTAATGTCATAACACGACCTTGTAAGTGAAAATGTGATGAGACCTAGATGAATGTGGGACTGGTTATTTGAATTTAGTGCCAACCCTGGTTATATTGGCCGATCATATAAATCAGTCAATATTGATTAATTCCTGATGTGCTATACTGATATGAACACTTCAGAAAGTAAATGATAAAACTTCCCCAAATTCATTTTTCACTTCATTTATTTAGCAATTCTGCTACAGTGGACCTACCAATGAGCTGTGAATGGACAACTGTAAACTTATAAATTGACATTTTGTTTGAATTCTAACACACTGTCGCCTATAATTAGTTCTCCTGAAAACTACTCCAGCAGTGCCATAGCAGTATCCTCACAGCAGTTCTCCCCACCCCCTATAAACACCAACTCACATCTACAACACTCTTTTTCTTTCCAGTTTGCGTTGTGTTCATCAATGTTCGGAAAAAATGGACTTATCACCCAGGCACCAAAAATCAAAACATAGAACAGTTTAAAATATCTGACATGAATTTAAATAAACTGGTTTTGTCTAATGGTCTTGAGTGTATTTTCCATTCAAACGTGACACCATTTTGTTAGCGGCCTCTAGGACATGCTTGAAAGTGACGTTGTATTCTTTGCAAAACAATTGATTTATGAAACCGATATCCAATAATTATGCTAGGTATTACTGCAGTGGTGAACCAATATACAGTGGAACCTCGGAACGCAAATGGTCCTGTTCTCAAACAATTCCGAAAAAATGTCTTGGTACGCAAACGATCTTCGGTACCCAAACATACAACAAAGAGCCATGTCTCATTTTCAAGTCAGACAATTATTATAAATAATTGTAATAATGGTCAACAGTAAATTTTTAGCAAGTTGAAAGGCAGGAACCACTGAAAAAAAATGTAAGGTGCTTATTAATAGAGTGATCTCTGCATCTTTAACGCATACATATTGTAGCGGAGAGCTGATTTCCCACAGCTTTAACTCCACTGGGATATTAAAAGAATGCAGGAACAAGTAGTAAATCCAAGAGGGTAACCAGCACAATCAACAATAAAATCCAACAGTATCCCATCACCTTCCCCAATCACTGGACGACACACAGTATCAGGAGTAGAACTAACTTTCAATGGCAACATTCCTGCTTTTTTTTTTTTTGACATTCTTTATTTATTTATTTGTTCATTTGATAAACTTTCAGCACAATACAACTCTGAACATATTTGGATGTGTAGCCCTGAACATGGAAGTATTACATTATCAGCATAGTTGCGTATTCAACTTTACCACTGTTGTGGTGGAAATG